GCAATAAGTGTTCTTTTATTTAAAAAAATAATACGTCAAATATCGTTTAAATTTTTGTTAAAGACCCGAGCGGAGCCGGAGCGGGCCGCTAGTGTTTTATAAGAAAAGTACTGCAAAAATCTGCGAGTGGAATATTCAAGCGTGCACGATCCTTAATTTACGAGACCTAGTTCATAAATAACACACAAAAGCTGTTGCACCGAGGTAGGGGAGCGGCACTAATGCACTTCCGTGTTGCAGACGTCCGTAAACAAGAGTAATTCAGGGCGAAATGTATTTTGAAGTGTTTTCTTAAGGAGCCGACGCGGTTGTAAGATGAAATGAAAACAAACATGTAAAGCGTTCTAAATCTCACAGGACAGAGAGATTTTATATCGTTTTTTGTCTTTAGCGTCTTTAAAGGGAAGCGAACATACATTTTACTGGTGGTAGGACCTCTTGAGAGTCCACGCGGGTAGGTACCACCACCCTGCCTATTTCTGCCGTGAAGCAGTAATGCGTTTCGGTTTGAAGAGTGGGACAACCGTTGTAACTATACTTGAGACCTTAGAACTTATATCTCAAGATGGGTGGCGCATTTACGTTGTAGATGTCTATGGGCTCCAGTAACCACTTAACAACCAGGTGGGCTATGAGCTCGTCCACCCATCTAAGCAATAAAAAAAATACAATCCGTGTGACGATGAATGGTCATCATCATTCATAGACACCAGCAATGCACTGTCAAGCCGTTGACTACCCCTGAGACCTTTCATACTTCGTTTGAAGAAGCATACGTTGTAGCAAAGTGGAGTTAAGTTCAATCCCCAGCCGGTTAATATTCTGATGACACAAGTCTGTGACCATGGTCTCCTCGTCCTACTAACTTTGAACTTTTACATGTTTTGTGTATCTTCACCTCCTTTTTACCTATTCTCCTAGTTTCTTTGTGGAATATTTATTCTAGGGTATTCTATGAACCCCCAGGAATAGTTCACACCCATTAAATGAGTTATTAGGTATTATTCAATAGTGGATTCACTATTGAATAATATAATTCAAGGTGCACGCGCGGGAGTATTTAGAGGTGAAGAGCGGCTTGGCTATGCCCTGGCGTTGCTGAGGTCCATGAGCGACGGTAACTGCTCACCGTCAGGTGGGCCGTATGCTCATCTGCCCAAATGGTCAATAAAAAATGCACGAAGCGAATGCTTACATTTTTAAATTCTTTCAATTAGATTTTCTGTTTTTTTCGCGAACTCCAGACTTGATTACAATATAATTTAGTGTTACGATTGAAAATTCTTGATTAGATTACATTATAAATACAAGGGTGACCACAAAAACCGTAAATAAATCTACAAAATCTTAAGTAATTAACTTATTGCATGATTTCTTCTTAATAAATCCGGAAGTTCACTTAAAAGTCCATTCACGGACCAGCTAAAGAGGCAAGAACGCGTTAATCTAGTTCCAAGTCCATTGCTAGTTTCTTTCCAGTGGCAAATAATGCCTCTCCTAACAGCGTCTTATTAAGAGCGCATAAGGTTCATTTTGATTAGCTCTTGTCCGACTGCTAATTGATTTTGAGTGACAGTTACGCTCTCAGCAACCGAGAGTCGTTGGATACCAGTAAGTTTCTAAATGACTGCTGGTTAAACGTGTTGATTTGTGTGTCTGGCGTGGCGGTTTAGGTCCGTCGGGGGACTTTATAACTTTCCCTGACTGTTCGAGACTAACTATAGATATAGGTATGAGGAGAGTTGACGTCAGACAGGGAATTTCCTCATTAGCATTACGTATATGCAACCTCAGATGATAGTTAAAGCAGTTCCTAACCTTTTCTTTCTTTTTTTTTTCCTACCTAGGCTGATGGTCTTGAGAAACCATTTCAGCGTAGCCTTAACTAGTAGGTGAGCTCACGGGGCTCAAACCTGACGTCGTTGCTAACACTGGCCCTAGCAAGAGCAATGCTTCGCAGAATCTACCGCCGGATGGGAAACGTGACCCACTGAGAAGATCCGTCGAGAAACTCAGCGGGCTGTCCCTAACCAATGACCTTTTAAACTACATTTTAGGGACTGCGTCGGCAAGTCGCTCGGCCCAACGATCCGGAAGGATCTTGAGCATCAAACCACTAGAGGTACCAGACGCAAGTTTATTCTGATACGCTGTGGATTAACAAACGACGAGGGAACAACATTGACCGAGGTTTATTAAATACAACACAATATTAGTTTCTAACAATGCATGTTAATTAAAAGTCTTTTCGTGTTTGTTATTCCGCACACACGTCGCTGGACAATAATCGAGGAACAAAAGGAGATATGAATATTGAACAATGTCGCGACCGCAACCTCGGCAGAGCTAGCAACTTTTAATTCTCCGATCATATGTTCGACGCTTCAATGTAATGGTCAACGACAAGGCATGCGCTCGAAGCATTGTTTACACGATTGTTATATGCATTATGAAAGTGAATTCATTTCATTTTCTATATAGATTATTGTAGTTTTTAAATTACACTCAAATCTTATTATATTCCATAACTTGTGTGCTTAGTGCGAGTTTTTTAACGTTTTCGATAGTGTAAATATTAACTAAAAATTTGAATGGAGTTAGAACGCTTGCCTACATTTTCCGCTAGGGGCGCTGTTCCAACTGCATACTTTGAGTTAACTTTTACGCTATCGAGAACGTTAAAAAACTCGCACGAATCACACTGGAGTCTAAACGATACAGTCCTCGACGGTATGCTGGTTTATTTTTCAAAAGATTTGTTTCAGTTGGTTTTTACATAATTTTGTTCCAACGTCACGCTATCAATATGTTTACTCTTATAATGCGGTTTAACGTTGTTTTGTTTAGTTGATTCTAGTAATATGATTCGTGTGAAATGATAACTATAAACATGTTATTCCGGCTCATGTGGACCTGTTGTTTGATTGAACGTCAGCGAGTAGCCCAAATATTTTTAGTGCACTATTTGGTGTAAAAAAAACATCGGATAATAAATCGGAATCAGCCGAACGCGACTTCACTAAGCATGACGTCACATAAGGCCATTATGCGAGAGTAAATCACCCATAGAGCATATATGTAGGTATATCTGATAGCCACACATCATACAACATTATTGGTGTTCAGGCCATAGGCATCATAGAACGCAAAATATTTGGCAGATGCTTGAATCTCTACTACTAAATCACGGCTCTATTGAATACCGACAAGAACGTAAGACATAAGTCGAGACGTGAGGACGCGCCTTTATTTTTGGTAAGACGTCTTGTGAGTCCGCACGGGTAGGTACGACCACCCTGCCTATTTCTGTCGTGAAGCAGTAATGCGTTTCGGTCTGAAGGGTGGGGCAGCCGTTGTAACTATACTGAGACCTTAGAACTCATATCTCAAGGTGGGTGGCGTCATTTACGTCATTACGATGGGTGCTCAGCACCGCGCTCCTGGCCCCGTCCCACGTGAGCACCCACTAGCGACCAGACATCAAGTCCCGATAACTAACAGTAGGTTTCGTATCGATTTCCTGACGCCCACACACAGCGATAATGTCTCACGCAAACGCATTCTTGTAGGATGCGATTTGATATTGTTTTAATTACACATTTACGCTGCATTTATATTTTATTAGTCAGTCAATAGACAAATGATAATTGTATGTATATCAAGTACTTATTAGTGGTCCGGCCGTAGTCGAAATTCGACTATAATTAATGGACATTATAAGTTTGAACATTATTATAGTTCTATTGTCAAAGAGTATTATTATTATACACTATTATACTTCTATAATCACAGATTTCGCCAATACTACACTATGGATAAATAATATTAACGACAAACAATAATAATCTATTTTGAATTTGACCACAGACTATACAACAAAAATTTGACAATTAAAGACAATTAAGTACATATGGGTTGTGTCAAATACATGTTAGTGTGTGTGTAATGTTTTTTTAATTGATTTAATGTTTTTTTATGCATAAAAAAAAGCAATTAACATTCTGCACTCCTTCTGTATATTCTCTGAAGTGTGGGAAATTTCATATATTTTCCGTCTGCGCAATTTTCGTAGAAAGGGGTACAAGGTTTTTGCTTTGTAAGAACGTATACGCTGAACACCAGAACACGCTACCGATGCACGGTGGGATCACCTCATGTGCGCTGTGCCTCAAACAAACGCCGAGCCTCACAGTTTTAGTTCAAAATTTAGAGGCACCCGTAAAGCTTACAGAATTTATGTATATTAAACTAGTTGATGTCGTTAGAACTAGCCGCGCCCTGACTGCGCGGCGAGGCTCTTGACTTAATAATAAATTTGTTTCTTGGTTCATAATCAAAACACTTTTCTGGAAGCGCCAACGATAAAAGTACTAGGCATCTACCTAGCCGAAACGCGCGAATATACAGAACACGAGCATAGTAAACGTATTCATTTTAAATACTAGAAGTACTAATTATAAATACAGAAGGTGAACGTGGACGATATTGTGGTCGAATCCTTGAGACGAGGGGAGCTTTTTGTTTCTATTTTATTGCCCGCGTATGCAGACCCACTTGATAGTGAGCGGTTACTGTCGCCCATGGACTGCAGCAATGCGAGAGACAGAACTAAACCACTGCCTACCGTTAAGTACTCTCCACAAGCATCGTTTGAATAAGAACATGTCATAGCGCTCGGAAAGCACCGTGGAGGGGAGACCTCAAGCACCGGTCACCGTCCTCGTCGAATTCGTCGCTTGCGACGAAGGGCTCGACGAGTAAATTAACCCATAGGCCCCGCCTACTGAGTTTCTCGCCAGGTCTTCTCAATGGATCGCGTTTCCGATCCGGTGATAGATTCTGCGAAGCACTGCTCTTGCTAGGACGAGTTAGCTACGTCGTCAGGTTTGAGCCCCGTCGCTGAAATAGCCTCTCAAGGCTATCGGCATAGGTAAGGGAAAAAAGAGGAGGGGAGTTCATTCGAAAAACCGGATGGTAGGCAAAAAGAGATGAGTACTCACACTGCACGTTGATATAGACGTCCTTGTAGACGTAGCCGATGGCGCTGGTGGCGTTGCAGCCGTAGTTGCCCGTGTCCTTCTTCACGAGGTCGGTGATGACGATGGAGTTGGCGCTGACTTGACGGCGCGGGTTCAGCTCGGCCTGCTCGATCGGCTTCCCGTTGTGGATCCAGGATATCTTCGGCGCCGGGGTGCCGTCCGCCTCGCAGCGGATGACCGCCGTCTCGCCCTCGGCTAGGTTCTGGATCTCTGGTTCCACCGTGAAGAATGGCGCAGCTGTGGAAACGAACTTATGATCAATATGACTGTTTGAATATTTTGTGTTATTATGTAACCAGAATATGAATTTTATTGAGAAATAATCTTTAAAATAGTGATTTTTACACGAATGTCGGCTCACAAACCACTTTTTTGTTGTTTAGTTGTTTTGGACGAGCTCAGGACCCACTTAGTGTTACACGTAAATGCCGCCACCTATCTTAAGACATGAGTATCAGTTTTTACAGCACAACGGCTATTCTACCCTTGAAACCGAAACGCATTGCTGCTTCACGGCAGTAATAATAGGCAGGGTCGTGGTATCTACCCAGGCGCAGTTACAAGGCGCCCTACCACCTGTACAATGACAGTAAACGATGCTCGGAGCTCCAACATACATCAAACACATACAGCTTGAGACATAGTTTGAAACCTCAATTTCATGGGTACAACACAAAATTAAACTGAACCGTATCTTGAATTCCGCAAACCAGGCCATAATTAAAGCATCAGTATTTTCTTGTCACATTTCACAAACTACAAAAAGATTTCAAATAATCATAGACTAGTGAAACCGGGACTTATGACTATGTAGTATGTAGTACACGCGATGGTTGAGATGGAACCGACAGAAAAGCTCTTTGCACGGTACTGCCATTCGGAACCTACAGACTAGACGACGGGGCGCATAATTATGAGAATAAACCAATCTAACCTCCATAGCTCGTCTTATGGTAAATTAATAATTATAAACCCGGACATTTGAATCCGCATAGAACTTTGAATTATTACAGAGCGGAGCTATAAACATTTCATGGCATCTGTTTTACACGGCACTGAAGCCACGTGCGCAGGTTAATTAAGCATAAAATTCGTTATGCGGCTCCCGGAGAGCTATCAGATATTAAATTTAATAATATATGCAATATTTTCAAAGCGGTATTAAGTTACTTTAGGCGTTGACTATGTCCTCAATTCTTTCTTAATCAAATAGAAACGCAGTCGCCGAGAAATTTTAAGAATAAGCATTGAAAACTTTTTTTATTGCTTAGATGCGTGGACGAGCTGTCAGCCCAGATGGTGTTAAGTGGTTACTGGAGCCCAAAGACATCTACAACGTAAAAGCGCCACTCACCTTGAGATATAAGTTCTAAGGTCTCAGTATAGTTACAACGGCTGCCCCACCCTTCAAACCGAAACGCATTACTGCTTCACGGCAGAAATAGGCGGGGTGGTGGTACCTACCCGCGCGGACTCACAAGAGGTCCTGCCACCAGTAACTGTATAAGGACTTAGGTTATAACTGTACGTTCTGCTTTTATGTTGTTTTATTCACCATGAGCTGGTAGAAATAAGTCATGTCGAGAACAAAATCTTTTCAAGGTCAAGGTTTCCAGTCCAGTAAGATAGCTCGGAAATAGAATTGTATAGATGGTAGTAAAAGAAGATATATCTTTATCTTTTACCACTATTCAACGCATTCTCGTGTCAGGCAGTCGTATTACAACCCTGAACCATGAATATCTACCAGCAACGGTCGCACCGGAACAATAAAAAGGACGAAGTACGTGAGGTGGACATCCCGGGCCGCGGCGGGATCCGGACCGATTATTTACGTTCGTGACCTAACCGCATTACGTCATACCTACGTACGCCCTGTACATTACTGAACGGTTAATGAGTTTGTACTCGTGATCGTTTCTGACCTAATGCCGGGACGGTTCAAGGTCTGGACGCGATCGGGAACTGTTAGACATTGATCACGTTATAAAAGCAACGAGCGTGATTCGAAGACTCAAGTTGTTAACTCGAAATTAAATGGTACTACTAGCCACTACAGCTAAGACAACATCAACTTTAAGTTTATGAAACTTGAGTTTGATTTTACTCAAACCGGAATTGATCGTTAAGTTATAACAGTAGAAACAAAGCTATCATAGCTGACATTTTTCATCACAACCTTTGCAATGAGCTGTAGAGCATATTCCTTGAGCCAACGAAACGGCTAGCACTACCCAAAATTGGTCACGATGGGTTTTTTTTCGATTTTTATAGGTGCCCTGTGAACCTTCTGTCGTTACCACCTGATCCTACCCTGCCTACTCAACAAACTCCTCAGTAATAACGCGTCACAAAAACCTCTCATTCTAATTCCATCTACCAAATGCGACAGTTATGTTCTATTTATTAAATCTAATTCTATTTTTGTTCTATTTTTTACCATGTGTACTAAAATAAGTCTTTTTTATAAATAATCCCAGACTCGTTAGTAGTTCAAGCTAACAATTTAGTCAACTGAGAAAAATTTTTGGAAAAATCGATACTCGAATACTGTGTCAATAATTAACAGAGAGATTTTTGTTTTAAACGACGGAGTTTATTTATTTATTTATTTATTTAGTTGTGTTTGAAGTAGTAACACAGATCCGACCTGACGACACCATACGGGAAGAAAAATCTTTCGAAACAAGGCTAGCCATTAACTAAAGTCGGAAACAAACAATTGTATAGCTCACTAATCAGAATTCTTTGATGCGTTCAGAATAAATTTAAGCAAACCTCGATGGAATTTCACAAAGATTTTCTTGATTTGAAACGTTTTATTTTTGGGAAACAAACAGAATACGAAAGAATACCAGAAGATACGAGAATATGAGTTCAATAAAAAATTACGATTTACAAATCACGGATATAAAATTCGTAATTGTTGTGGTCATATACATACGCATACTCATTGAACCGGAATTAAAAAAAAATAAGAAAACAAGAACTATAGCGCACCATTAGAATTCGTCGGGACAGTTCTTACTCACAATCGGAACCTCTAAAAAACTAATGAAAAATTTCGTTTTAGGCAAAATTGCTAAGATAACATTTAAGAAAGAAAATCGGTAATATTATAAATTCGTCAACATTCATTTATTTAAGATCCCTATTGCAATTGAATATGCAATTTCGAAAAGGGCACATCTCTTAAAGTGTCAAATTTTCAGGAAATGAAAAAACTGATTATTTTCTAAAGCAGTGTAAAATTTAAAATATTTACTTTTGTGATATATTTAAGTGTTAATTAGCAATTGAAAATTACTGAAATTATTTTAAAATGGGTGTAGGTAAGCCTCAAAACTACATGTATATGAAAAAACGTATTTGACAAAATATGCGACATGTGCCCTTTTCGAAATTGCATATTCAATTAGAAACCGAGTTATTGATCTTCGAACGAGCGGATAAGCTTTCCTGAAACACAACTGAGACTAGAACGTTATCAATAACTAAATTGTAAATTGAAAATCAAAATCAATCGAATTACTATGTTTATAATGGCCGCGATGTAATAAATACAAAAAATAAATCAATTAAATCGGCCATTCAAATGATGACTAAAACAAATAAACAATGGTTAACATTAAACGGCGATTTACACCAGCACTCTTAAACTCAATCAGGACAACCTTCCCTTTAAAGCCTAATTCCTCCTTGTTGTTTCAGGATCACGTTCCGCACACGACACGATAAATGTTACATATAATTTGTTTTGACCTCATGATACCTAATTTTTTTCTATCAATTACAGTTTTATCTCTGAAGATTAAAATTTTAACCGTTTGGCTCATTAGAAACTCAAAGCACGAAATAAATTAAATCAAAAAACATTTTATGATTTAATATTATGTAAATAATACATTTATATACACTGATCATAAATAGAGTTTTTACACGTTTAAATATGACAAGGGATGTAGCATTTATTTTTGTAATTTATGTACATATAAGCCTGCTGCGACCGGGTTCCACTAATTTTTTTTATTGCTTAGACGGGTGGACGAGCTCACAGTCCACCTGATGTTAAGTGGTTACTGGAGCCCATAGACATTTAAAACGTAAATGCCGCCACCCACCTTGAGATATAAGTTCTAAGATGTTATGTATAGTTACAATATATCAGAATCGCATTCCAGCTCAATGTGATATGATTCTAGTAGGTTACTGACATGGACAATGCCAGTGTTTAAACCAAGACGGGGCCTGTCGCGTACGGATCGGTACAAAGGGAAGTGACACACTTCCTTACGAATTCAGGAGACGTTTAGTACGCAATAAGCCCTTATCACAAACATCGGTATTCTTTATGTTCGGAGGAAGTCCTTAAGTTAGGCGCCTCCGCACATTATGAGCCACTTACGAACCTTTATTGGCACAGTGGAACGTTCTCTTCATTATTGTATGGATCAATTTACATAAGACGAACGTGGAGGTGGGTTTTGTTAACGGCTGCGATATATGCACGCGGTCCTTTTAATGTATTTGGGAGCTCGACCAGGTTCGATTGTTTTTCGAATCGATTTCAAACAAAAAAAAGTTCTCAATACGACTTTTCTTTTACGTATATTCCGTCATATTTTAAATGTTTTTATTTGAACGCTAATGCTTCCCATGTTGTTGTGACCACAGTTAATTTTAATTTTATTAAATTAACATCTTAATTTTTGGAGTGTACATTAATGATATTCTTATTTTATTATTAGTCTCCTTTCTTGAGGTTTGAAACACAAACGATGTTATTTATAAGTCGCTATCGATTTAGTTTTGGCGTGGTGCTTGATGGTATCGCCGGTGAGTCCACGAGTGAACACCCGGGTCAGTCCGAATTTCTTTCTCTTCTCTCTCTCTTTCTTTCTCCGCGAAAAACCTTTTATTTAGACCTCAAATTTTAAAACACTTAACCTCAAGTGTGCACCACTCTGCTTATTTAAGATTTTCTTACCAAAAAAATTATAATAATCGTAAAAACAGTCAAGATGACTTTTAATTACGAAACAACAGTGTAAATGTATCACCCGGCGACTGGATTGTGGATCTTCCAAAAACTAAAACTTGGCACTACGTACATGGCGCGTACCAGTTCTTAGTAATGATAAAGGTACACGAATGTACATGACATGCTGTGTATATATATATGTCTATAGATACTAGCGGACACGATAGAAGTTGTCCTGCATACACAAAATGAATGAAATAAATGAATGAATGCATGCACAAAAATTCATTGAAGTCAATCCAGCCGTTTAGTTACAGTATAGATAAATAAGCTAGATACCGACTCCAGCGCCATCTGCCGGGCTGGTTTGTGAATCTAAGCCATCCAGGGCGCTACCCAAATGCATACAAAAAAAAACATTTAAATCGGTCCAGCCGTTTACGAGGCGTTCAGTGAGATACACACGTACAGTAGAATTATATAAAGAAGATATACTCGTAATATTTACCAACGCATCTATCACAGGCCGTCACATTTAGAACGACATGTGCGCCTCGCGGTTTCGGTCGCGTAAATTTTGCATTATATAAATATATTCAACATAATAAAACAAATCTTACTAGCCGCCTTCGATGAGTTATTGAATTAAAACTGTTTGTATTTTTGTGTGTAGTGTATTTTTTTTTTTGTAAAACTGTCTTTGAGTACACCAATAATTCAATATTTCTATAGAAAAAATATGAACTCGGCTTTAAATATGTACAGTGGAATGTATATTCTGCTACCTATGGGTCTCGGTAACGGTTTAGCATCTAGCGGGCCGTGAGCCCTGCTAGTGGTAAAAATATCCATGATCGTCTATGCCTTACAGCACTTCTCAAGCGAAACATGTATATAACTTCCGTTTCTTTGGTCATCTAAGTAAATATACATAATAAAAATATATAATAATAGTATATGAATAAAATAGCGTTATAGATAATCATGCCATTTGTTTTGAAAACTTTTGACAATCTCATGAATAAAACTTGTTTTCAATGTCATTATTTTTATCTACCGAGATAATATTATGTTAGAGGCTTAGGTCATTGGATCATAAGAATTAAAAAAAAAGATGATAGATAAATAGTTTCCCTAGAAAAAGACAATATACTGTAATAATTTTACAGCGAAATATTAGAATATAATCTTGTGTAGACTAGTTACTTCAATAATATTGTAACTTTTCTTTATATATTATTTATGTATATTACTTTTCTTTTTTGCCTATGTCACTTTTAATTTAAAATTGAATACTCAAACTAAATTATTATATTGTTCAATTAATCACTTTGCTTTTAACACATTTCCTAGAGAGTCTTCAATCTGAAGAGTGTTACTTTGATTTAATTAATCGCCCAGTGTTCTTTTTTATACAATAATAACGGTTAGTTAACGGCATACATTATTTCTAGGTTTTTTTTTGGGTGAATCACCCTTAAAATTTTGGGATATGAAAAATAGATGTTGGCCGATTCTCAGATCTACCTGATATGCATACCAAATTTCATGAGAATCGGTTGAGCCAATTCGGAGGAGTTTGGCAACAAACACCCCGACACGAGAATTTTATATATTAGAAGATTATTAGTCTGGCGCTAAGTGAGTGCGGCGGCGGGTCCTACTTCGGGCCTACCTTCGATGTTGAGCTGGATGGAGTTGGACTGCGCCGAGCCCACGCCGTTGCTGACCTCGCACGTGTACGTGCCCTGGTCGTCGTACGTCGGATACTTGATCACTAAGGTCTTTCCGTAGTTGTCCTGGGTGATGCTCTGAGACCACAAGATGCTGCGCCCGTTCTTCTTCCATACGATCTGAGGGAGCGGCCTGCGGAGAAGAGACAGAGTGAAGAAATCTATTGATTTTAACACTGCTCGTCTTGAGGTATGACCAGCCCCGAAGGCAGACTACAAGCAGAGTGCTCGCACATGGCACAGTTCAAGATCTCACCCACCCTCAATGAAGCGATACTTCTACAAACCAAACACAGAAGAATAGAATACGATCTTTTTTTTAAAAGCAATAAACTGTCCTTTAGCTTTATTGGCAGTGTCAACCTCCGGACCAGTAGTAGCTAGTTTGTTTAAACTTGTATACATTACCCTCAACTCCGTTGATCGTAACAATGGTAACAAGAAGGAGAGAATTAAGAATAGACTCACGTTCCGCCGTAGATGCAGTAGAGCTCCACGCGCTGACCCTTGAGGCCTCTCTCGATCTTCCTGGTGGTGTACTGGCGCACGGGCTCGTGTCGGTTGAGTGTCGGCGAGATGCCGGTCGGGATGACCTGAAGGTAGATCTTGTTCCCCACTTTGTATTCATTTCTGAAGCCGGAGTTGGCCGTGCAGATGTACGCGTAATCTTCGCTGGCGTCGTTTTGGGTCACGTTGGAGAACCAGAGGTTTCCTTCCGGGTCGAGTGTCATACGAGAGTTGTTGATCGTCTTCAGCTGACCCTGGTCCCCTTGCAACATCCAGTAGACCTTGGGCTTCGGATGACCGTCCGGGGGCTCGCACGTCAGCTTATAAGGTTTACCTTCTTCAGCTCTCACGACTTGCTGACCATCGGTTTCCTTGAAGGAATTGAGCTCGGCTCTCCTTACAAAGACCGAGTTGGATGCAGCGGTTCCCCACTCGTTGTATGCGAAGCACTGGTACTGTCCCAGATCTTCCTCCTTGGGCTTGCTGATGACGAGAGTGCCTCGGCCGGTTTGTTGCGAGATACGGTTGTCGTAGCTCGAGTATTCGAATGATTTGCCGTTTTTGATCCATTTGTACCTGTTGACAAATTCAAGATTATGTAAAGTAAAAGATTGAAATGATTGAAACTATTTCGTCAATTATTTCAATACAGGACAATATTGTGTGTCTGTAAGCAATTACCAAAGGGGGTGCGAGCGCATCTGATGCGCCCTTTATAAACCACTGATGCTCGTAAATCTCCATTATTCGTATAGAAGGGTTAATTTTGGTGTCATACGACTTTCCGTGGATTAACACTAACGCTATTACGATTACGTCGCGGAGCAACCTTCCGTTCCATTTTAAAGGATTGACTAACCGTGATTATAACGCAATTTCGAGCTGATGCTTGCCACTCCTTAACCACGAGCAGTGCATGTCAGCGCTGGGCCGTAATCGCAATACGCACATGCAGAATAAGTCAATGTAATAATGCCTTCAGGGCCACTCATGTGAGATAAGACACGTCGCTACTCAACGAATAGGTAAGTATTTCATTTATTCGCTTTTATGGAGTATCGTTCTACTTACTCTATATAAACGCCATTTAAAATTTATATTTGGTTAATAGCAATTAATAGTTACAGTTAGGTAAGTATAAGCTTTATCTACAAGTGACGTCATAACCAGGTCACTTCTGTGTCAATCGATAAGCTTCGTAGGTAATCGTTGTAGGAGCTTCCGTGGCAATCTCTATTGTATAGCTCGCACTTCGAACCGAAAGTTTCGATTGTGCTGAAATAGCCTGAACGATAGTGGTGTCGTTCCAATAGGGCTCATAACCTGCACCGCTGCAATAATATCGAAACTGTCAGAATTAGAATTTTGCGGATTACACTTTTATTACCCACTAGCTGACACCGGCAGACTTCGTAGTGCCTCAATCAATAAATAAAAGACCTAAACTTGATTTAATTCCGAGAATTTTCATATTTATCTACCTTTTAACCCTTCTCTGGACTTCGACAAATAATTCAAGACCAAAATTAGCCAAACCGGTCCAGCCGTTCTCGAGATTGTTCCTAGACTACTGAAGGATACAATGACATACAATTAACGTGTATATTCGTATCTGTACCATTTTTTGGGGTTGGTGTACGAGGAGGTAGTTGCCGAAGCCTATACCATAACATGTATGACGCCGACTCTCTTAACGTGACTTCGAAAATTCATTTCATCACCGGTAGAAATAGTAAAGATCGGGTCGCATACCCATTGCAAATTCACAATACGCCCTGCCACTAATAGTCATTACTTAAAGTTCGATATCATTGCTCCATCGTATAAGTTGTTGGTAAAAGCCTTATTACATATATTATATGTACGTATTTGAGTAGAAAAACTGGTATTTGCCTTCGAGTTCGAACTGGATAGTCGGCACCACTTACAACTTATTATTTATTGTGTTTTTATTAATTGTGTCATTGTAGAAATCAGCCAGCGATATAAATATGACTAAAGTCTATTTTAGTTCCTGTTTTTCATACTGAACTACGGTTCGTATTAAATTATTCATGGTTATGACTAAACATGAATGATGATATACATAGGTTCGTTGGGAGAGCAAATATAATTTTATATATAATTATAATGTTATACACGTTGGCACGTAGTCCATTGGCGACGGTAATCACTTACCATCAGATAGGCAGTATGCTCGTCTGCCTACAAGGGCAATAAAAGAATACACGAATTAATTTTGTATTCAATCAATTATGAATTAACTTAGCGATAAATCGAAACAATATTCGAAATAAAATGTTGTTTATTTTTTATTTATTTATACTTTATGCACAAAACAAAATTTGAACACAGGCGGACTTCATGCCATGGGCATTCTCTTCCAGTCGACCACAGGGTGGTGCAGAGATAATGCATGGTTTACGTGACTGAATGCTTTATTCGTATACGAAGTATGGCCACGACCGGCACGAGACAGGAGTCGGCTGCGATATATAAATACGTTGTTTTACATACAGAGTAGACCGGTATAGGATCTGCCGATTCTCTTGCTCCACATCCAGCGTAAGATGCTCTTTAATGCCTTCGAAGGCAGACGAGCTTAAAGGCCCACTTTATTTGTGGTCAACATCGCTCATGGACATAAACAAACTTCAAACATCGATTAAGGATAGAATAACTCTCAGTACACTGCTTAGCTGAATGGTGAGTGTCTACTGGTGGTAGGACCTCCTGTGAGTCCGCACGGGTAGGTACCACCGCCCTGCCTATTTCTAACGTGAAGCAGAAATGCGTTTCGGTTTGAAGGGCGGGACAGCCGTTGTAACTATACTGAGACATTAGAACTTATATCTCAAGGTGGTGGCGCGTTTACGTTGTAGATGTCTATGGGCTCCAGTAACCATTTAACATCAGGTGGGCTGTGAGCTTGTCCAACCCATCTAAGCAATAAAAAAAACATATTACAGGCCAATTGAATTTAAAAAAATTACTAGGTACTAATAACGTTTCAAACTTTCGAATCCGGATAGCTTAGTGGTTCGGCAGGAAGACAGTACCTACACAAGTGCATGTTGAACACAGTAATATCATTAACCCGTACTAAATTACATTTTGAAGTCTATAATATTGTTGTTTGGTTGATTCTAGCATTCCGCCCACAACTCCGGGCGCCGCGTTCAATACCCGTTATATCGCGTGGTCGGAGCCCCCTGATGAGCAGCGGGATTAAAGGTAGCTTCCCAGAGTTCAAAGTATTTCGAATTCCGCCATAATCGACTTAGCGATTTGACTGTCAAAACGTAATGTTAGTGTCTTCTTTATAATATTAGATTGGGTGTTTGTTCCGTCTTTGATTGCATTTCGACTATCATTGATTGGCATTTTACTGGTGGTAGGACCTCTTGTGAGTCCGCGCGGGTAGGTACCACCACCCCGCCTATTTCTGCCCTGAAGCAATAACGGTTTGAAGGGTGGGGCAGCCGTTGTAACTATACTTGAGACCTTAGAACTTATATCTCAAGGTGGGTGGCGCATTTACGTCGTAGATATATATAGGCTGCAGTAACCACTAACACCAGGTAGGCTGTGAGCTCGTCCACCCATCTAATCTATTAAAATAAAAATAAAATCGATATAATACTCTTCATGTTTGAATTTGTCTTAAATCACCGCTATATGGACACAAAAGCTTCGTACATGCTTTATAAACATCAAGTAAAAGATAAACTTTATAAATAGCTCCAAAGTTGTTAGCATTGATGTGTGACACAATCTCTGTACGAGTGAGGATGACTGCATCTCAAACTTGGCTGAGTCACCGCATGAATATATTAAAATTAAATTAACTTTAAAATCTCATATTTTTCGTATTTACTTATGCTTCCACGACGTAGACATAGTAGACATGATTACAAAACCGAATTTCACGATGTAACACGGGTATCGTCTCGGGTTGAATTATCTCTGATGTCTGTAATGGGTTCGGGGCGACGTTCAACTATCAACAAGCAACGACCGTGACCAAAAAAATACAGCGATAATTATACAATCAAAACAAAGGTTGGGCATCATCGGGTCATGATCACCAACTGAATTATTATAAAATCACAAATTTGATTACAAGATAAATATAAACAATTCTTTGACTGTACAAACGCGCCTTAAAAACGTCAGAGTCCCAATACAGCGTCCAATAAGATAGCCAATAATAAATATGACGAAACTGTTTTATTCATCGCGGCGTACTTACGCGACCTCACCTTTATAACCGTGCTTTAATATTCTCAACTTACTTTAACTAAACGAAAAATAAATTCCGAGAAACTTTAAGATGATTGTGACATAATAAGTAAAGGTGGTGGTAGGGCCTCTTGTGAGTCCGCGCGGGTAGGTGCCACCACCCCGCCTATTTCAGCCATGAAGCAGTAATGCGTTTCGGTTTAAAGGGTGGGGCAGCCGTTGTAACTATACTTGAGACAGTATAATCAGATAGGCGCCGGGAGAGATCAGAATTCGCCTACGGAAATCTTACAATAAAAATACTACCAACATTCATGGAAAAGTGTAAATAAGATGTCGCTGCCAGCAATGCTGTCTGCTTTTGACGATTTCATTTTTTTATTTTTATTTCTTAGATGGGTGGACGAGCTCACAGCCCACTGGTGTTAAGTGGTTACTGGAACCCATAGACATCTACAACGTAAATGCGCTACCCACCTTGAGGTCTAAGTTCTAAGGTCTCAAGTATAGTTACAACGGCTGCCCCACCCTTCAAACCGAAACGCATTACTGCTTCACGGCAGAAATAGGCAGGGTGGTGGTACCTACCCGCGCGGACTCGCAAGAGGTCTAACCACCAGTATAAAATATTGTAACATAATATTGTCCCATAATGGTCACCTAATAAGTAATAATTTACAATTTGTAACCTAGTATTGAATAATTGTAGCCTAGCTTAGTGCTCCAGTTCTGAGGGTCAGCTGGCAGATTACCAAGGACAGAGAATTTGCCAAAAAGAATTACATCACTTGTTATTTAATAGCGATTTGGGAATCTGAGATTTATGAGCCAAATAATGAAATGTCGACTGCAGACAGCATACGTTTTAACTAGGTAGTAGATTCATAATAAAAGAATAATGCCTATGTTTAAAACGGGATGACATGACGTCGGTACGCTGTACGTCAATACGCTCACTAGGAATACAATGTGGATGTTACCAACCCCCTGCGCATTTTTTGTTTAAGGAAAAAAAATCCAATCTCTACATTTCCTGTTAAAGTTCTTCACGAAATTAAATGGAAAACGACTGCTCGTTTCTACGCTATAATAAATACGGCCACAGTAATTAAAACACGCGAAACGCAGGTCATGTCCGTCGCCAATCCCACGAGTGGCACTGGAAGGGACCGCATGCTCTCACTTTTAATTACTGCTCTCTAATTACAAACTCGTTATAAGGCTTTGTGTGTGGCCAGGGAAACCTAAAAGGCACTACTTGCGTACCTATGTGTGAACTTAAATTTAATTACCAAATGGCATTTAATATAAGATGTCTATTTTCCAGGGCGACAAACATCGACCTCAAGATGTATGCAAATAAAAAAAGTTTACCGCTAATGTCACTGCTGTAAAATTGTCGGGCAGCAATCATAATGTCACAAATATAGGAGTAAAGCGAAGACTTCTAAGTAGTCTAAACAGACGGGCTAGGACTCTAAGGAAGACGCAACAATGCTATCCTGCATTGAGGACAGGGAAGTGATTAAATTATGAGCCTAAAAGGATTATTTGTCGTGAACGATGTTTTGCAAAGTCTATGAATACTTTGTACATTAAGATTTTCGAATCTTTCTACAAGGCAAATTCAAAATTATTTATCAAACAAAATAAAGATATTTAAAGTTTGAAAAATATTAAATTGTATTACTTAATATACCCAACATGATCAGACTGTCTCGTTGATCTCATGGTTAATGAGACTAGGTATTGTAAACAGGGTATGAGTTCAAGTCATTGTCGAAATGAATATTTTATATTGGCGATATATATTCAATGTTATTCTGTGTACTTATTCTTGTTTAGTGTGTCCCTGGCACATATAGAGCATGGGATTGCTAGCTTGAGGCTGTTAAATATTCGTTTGAAATGATCTCTCAGATCTAATGTTTTGATTTATGTATTTCATAGTTTAGGAAACGTAATTCATTTAATTCCGTATATGAAAAGTAAAATTAATATAACAACCAGATATTTTAATGTGGTTTTTATTAATCATGCAAGTCATTTTTTATTTGAATTTTTGAAATGATTTATGGCATGATTGCATTTCTGTTTTCATTTTACAAGTTGCAACGGTTCAAGAGTTATGTGCAAAAAGGCGGAACGAACACTACCTATTTAGATTCATGACGGAGGTGGCGACAGTTATTTCGTTCGACATTCGATTTTATTTTATTGAAATAAGCACTAGCCAGATGCAACATTAAAATTTTTTTTTTTTTTTTATAACCTAGCACTGTACAGGCAACCGAGTTAGTTAGAACGGTGGCATATTGTCCTGCAAGCCTCTTACCTCTTTGAATGTCTAAGTTGCGGCCAGGTTTATGAAATTTCCTCTTTACAGTGACGTAAAGGAACGCTAAAATGATCACACTGTACTTGACGTATAATAAGCTACAAAAAACATGGATAGTACATTAAGAAAATCATACCTTTACTTTAACTAGTGGTTCCCCTGTAGTCTATAGACTATAATTAAGCCCCAGAAATTAGACTAAAATTAATTGAAATTATAAGTTTGAACATTATTATGGTTCTATTGTCAGACTATTAAGCTTCTATTATATAAGCACAGATTTTTTCCAAGACTACATAATAGACAAATAATATTAAAGACAATAATATTAATCTATTTTGAAATTGACCACAGAATTCATCAATAAACAAAAGAGTATAAATGCGTGTGTGTAAAATAGATGGGAGTGTGTGTTTTATTTTTAATGCAAAAATAAAAAAATATATTAGCATTCTGTACTTCTCTCTTCTCTATAAGTGTAAGAAATTTCATACTTCTTTTTCCATGCAATTTTCGTAAAAAGGGGTACAAAGTTTTTGCTTCAAATATTTTAAAATATAGATATAGTATAACTAATAAGTATATAATGCGTATACAAGTCTGCATAAATATAAATGCTATACATATTAGGTTACTTAGATGAAAAATTTGTTCTGTGGAGAAAGGTATCTACTATCATTATTTAGATATGATAATTGTGTAAAAAAAACCAACTAGATATGCCATTGCAGATCATATCAACAGCTGACCTGCTATTGAAGTCAGTGATGTAGTTAATATAATCACTAACTCAGTCTGTATCTTTCTATGAATTTGATACAGTGTTCACACATATAGAATGTGAAATTTGGCAGCTGACGTGCTATGGTTGAATTGCAACTACACAAAGTTTAAAACCTTAAACCACCTAAGTAAAGGGGATAAATTTTAATTCCTAAAGATTGAGTTCTACAGTTTTATAAAATAAATAAAAATAAATGTGCGTACTTAGGTGCTGGTTCTCCTTCAGCCTCACACTCTATAATAAAAGGTTTATCCACTTCTCCCTGTTGCGCCACTTGGAACAGGATTTCTTCCTGAGTCGGTTGCTTCACGATTTTTGGTGGAGATGTTACTGTTGGCAAAATATTTAAGTTAATCTTTAATTTTTGCATATACAGCACAAGTTTTTAAAAGAAAAGCTTCATTTATTTGATAAATTTACATTCAGTTAGTATTATAGATTGCTAACACCATTACATGATTCTAGATACTGAAACTTTTGCTTGACTGGGAAGATGTGGTGTTTTTTTTCTTTTTTCCTTTCTAATGCAGCACCAGGCTGGATGGTGAGTGATGACCAATCCTCACTTATATAGAAATTTGACTATGTGGCAGTTGAAATCCACTGTCACGTAGATTTTTTAAGCAAATATATACCGATCACAAATAACACCACGAAAAAGTGATGATGTTGTAAATATAAAACTTACAAAACTATGTAATTTACTTATTTAGAAAAATTAAAAAAACGTACATAATACAGTAAATTAATCATGTTTTATCTGTAGATATTTAAAAAGTGCAATATTATACTCATATTTTTAAATAATAATTAGTTTTAAAAACTTTTCCAATCTTTTTCTTTTAACTTAACAAAAAATTACTTCAATTGGTGTATAACACAAGTGAATCCATCTGATATTAAAAAGATTCAAACTGTTGTTATTTATTTAATCAGATATCCAGTGTACATACAGCATACAATATACATACAGACAGACATACTGCCTTTATGTAGGATATGTTCAATGGTAATCAATAATAAAGTAATTACGAAACTTAGAACACCAATTTAGAAATTATTTTCATTGTAATGTATTAAATAATATCTTTATTATATAATGTTTAGTAATAGATCCAGTTCCAAGCAGAAACAGAAGGGATTTCCATTCATTCAGGGACTTGTTTCACAATAAGAAATAAAAGTGTGCTTGAACTATTATTTCATATTGTTATTACTCTTCTGTTGGAACACGTTTTTATTTTATTTAAGGAAACTCAAATATGTTAAATTTGTTATTAAAAATCAATTTACTATGATTAAATACCTAAAAACAGACTTTTAATTTAGAATATAGAATAATAACTAAGAGCATAGTTGTTGGAAAGGGCTTCGTGTTAAATAGACTGTGAAATCTAGCTACAGGACAGTGAAAGGGACCTAAGTTACATTGACTATATCACACGAAATTCTGCAAACATATATGTTGCTAATATTTTTAACGGAAATTTATACTAGATTGAGAGATGTACAGATGCGAATATATAATACTCACATAAAGCAGCGGCCTGCGAGACTAACGCTATGAAACACAGAATTCTGCTCGTATCCATTGTGAGGACTACGTCGTTCACAACTCGTTTATCTAACAAGAAACAAAATAAACAACTTTAAAACATAGCAAAACACATTTCTCCAGCACACATGTTCGCCGCACTCGATGACCTAATCCGAATAAAGAATACAGACACACTACAATGACAACACCCACTAAAAATAGTTGCCGGGAATTCAATCAATTCCCATACGTTTTGTGACACAATAACATTTTAAACATACTAAAACTGTAAAGATATCGTAAATCTTTCTCTGGATAAAGTATTACCGGCAAAGAATGCCTTAAAGCCGCGACAAACTAAGCTATTTATTTCAGTATGCGACAAATCGATAATTACATTCCAGTAAGAAAAGTTTGCTTGTTTTAAATAAGAAAGTAACGGTTTTTACTTAACAAATTCGTTATTACCTAGATTTCTTGTTTTAATACAATAACATCGCGAAAACTAACAAACTAAAAATATTAATGTAAAGGCGGGGCCTCTGAGATTCGCTGTCGACTCTCGTTCGTTCGTACTTCGTTCATGAAAATTGATGAAATTGACGGTTCAACGTCGGTTCGGTTCAATGACTGTTAAGCCAACGCCATAAATATATTTTTATTCGGCTTTGCAGCCTGTATAGGCAAAGGGTATCGTAGATATTTTATACGTGACAAAGCAAAGGAAACACAGCCTATACTTCCAAGCTTCTATTTTATGAAGGTTAAAGCAGTAAACGATACCCGTAATGAAATTTAATGACTACACATTTCACAGTAAATTGGTGAGAACCTACTAAGCTATAATGGAATTTTTGGAAGAAACCATTTTCGGGTTTTGTTCTATCTTCTCACCTTTATGTATTTCATTTAAATATCACTTCTCTACTTTGAAAAAGCGGCGGAACAAGATAACCTTCTTATCGTGGTCACCGCTAACTACATATTCGAATCAGGTGATGGAATAAAGCAAAGCCGCGGTCGCCCAAAACATGTCTTGTCGGATACGCTGGATCCACTCTCGGTGCATTTAGGCTCTGCAAACATCGGTCACCGTCCTCGCAAGATTAATATTTAAATTATTAGTCCTCGTCGAACTCGTCGACCACGACGAAGAGCTCAACATGTGAACTAGTCCATAGATACAAACCACTGAATTTTTCGCCGGATCTTCTCAGTGGGTCGCGATTCCGATCCGGTAGTAGATTCAGAGAAGCAATACTCTTGCTAGGACCAGTGTTAGCAATTCTCTAAGGTTGAGCCCGTGAGCTTACCTACCGGTCAACGGGAAGTTGGGCGAAAGAGGCGAAAGAGACTCAAGAAGATGTCGCATAAGCTGCTCTCCACGCACCTTAAGAACGAATTTGAAGTCGTCGTGGCCTAAAAGATAAGACGTCCGGTGCATTCGTATCGAGCGATGCACCGGTGTTCGAATCTCGCTGGCGGGTACCAATTTCTCTAATGAAATACGTACTCAACAAATGTTCACGAGTGACTTCCACGGTGAAAGAATAACATCGTGCAATAAAAATCAAACCCGCAAAATTATAATTTGCGTAATTACCGGTGGTAGGACCTCTTGTGAATCCGCACGGATAGGTACCACCGCCCCGCCTATTTCTGCCGTGAAGCAGTAATGCGTTTCGGTTTGAAGGGTGGGGCAGCCGTTGTGACTATACTGAGACCTTAGAACTATATCTCAAGGTGTGTGGCGCATTTGCGTTGTAGATGTCTATGGGCTCCAGTAACCACTTAACATCAGGTGGGCTGTGAGCTCGTCCACACATCTAAGCAATAAAAATAAAAAAAAAGAATAACGGCATTCCATAAGCCATCCTCTTTTTGCTACCTACTTTTAGTTATATTATGTTATGTGATCCGTTGTCATTGATTCTATATTTTTGACAACGTCAGAAGGGCGCGAATTTAAAATGATATTTTTGAAATTTTGAAAATTATTTTATTTATAAACCTGCCATAAATCATCAATAAGTAATTTCAAACTATTGTTTTGATTTCAAATTAATTGATGTGTTAATGATTAGCCCTGAAAATGCGTAAGTTATTGATTAGCTTTGCAACAATTTATTTTAACATATTAGCTAAAACATGTAGCATTGTATATTAAATTTATGAAAATTAAATTAGCAATAGCGAATTAAAGTACGTATGGATCTCTGTCTTTCAAATAATCGTTAGGTGTTTAAAATAATGAAAAGAAATTTTATAAATTGCGATCTTATTACGATTTAAGCTACTGAGTTTTCACCAGATCTTATCAATGGGTTGCGCTTCCGATCTGGTGATAGATTCAGCGAAGCTTATTAGGGTAAATGTTAGCAAACTTTCTCAGGCTGAGCCTCGTCACTTTGCTCACTAATCAAGAAGACGCCAAAATAGATNCGTTAGGTGTTTAAAATAATGAAAAGAAATTTTATAAATTGCGATCTTATTACGATTTAAGCTACTGAGTTTTCACCAGATCTTATCAATGGGTTGCGCTTCCGATCTGGTGATAGATTCAGCGAAGCTTATTAGGGTAAATGTTAGCAAACTTTCTCAGGCTGAGCCTCGTCACTTTGCTCACTAATCAAGAAGACGCCAAAATAGATCCTCGAAGCTACTGGCAGATTACTGGTGGTAGGACCTCTTGAGAGTCAGCGCGGGTAGGTACCACCACCCTGCCTATTTCTGCCGTGAAGCAGTAATGCGTTTCGGTTTGAAGGGTGGGGCAGCCGTTTTAACTATACTTGAGACCTTAGAACTTATATTTCAAGGTGGGTGGCGCATTTACGTTGTAGATGTCTATGGGCTCCAGTAACCACTTAACACCAGGTGTGTGAGCTCGTCCACACATCTAAGCAATAAATAAAAAATTGTAGGCTAAAAAATAAACAACACTTATAATTTGCAGTAGGTACTTATTAAAGTGTACATATAATGATAACAATAACTACTTTAATGGTGAATTTTACAGGTGTATTATTAATAACCGAAATATTTCGATACATTTGCGTTTCATTCCTTGCAGCTAACGCCTGTGATCTTTACTTGAAGACCCGGCACAGTTTCTGTTCTCCACGTCAAAGAGCGCCCATCGTCTTTAATTCAGATGTGAACGTTTCGAAAAGTTCCTCACAGTCCCACGAGTATTCATCTCCAAAGTATTACGAACGATATGAGCACGATGAAGTGCCCGTTAGGGAATCCGATTTAAGTGCTACCACCGATAAGGATGTCATACTAACAAATTCAGAACTCGACAAAATCGAAAAGAGAGTTTATGAGACTGTTTCACAAGAACTGCAAACCGACGAGAGCTCATCTATCAGTCTCGACTCGAACATAAAATTCTTTAAGACGACTGTAGAAAAGCTATTTGAGAACTTTTACACCAGCATGAGAGATTTTGACCTCTACAAGCAGCGGTTTAACGAAATCTTAGCCAAAAATAAAGAGGAATCCTTGGTCGACATGGAGGACCTTATTAATGACATGTTCCAGAATATGATGTCTTCGGTCGACATTAAAGTGACCGGCTCAACGACCACAGCTAAACGTTCCGGAAATTGTGACGCATCCACACCCACCAACTCGCAAGGGTCGGAAGGATACGTTACGTTTTACAATGGAAACCTCAATACGGACTCTTCGTTTAACGAACAGTCCTCAGCTACGAGGAGTTCAGGAGACGGAGGGGAGACCTTTAACCTATATTTGGTCGGGGGGACGTCTTGCGTACAAATTAACGTGGTGGAAAGAAGTCGCCTCTCGGAGATTAATATCAGAAACTTGGATTACGAGTCGGTCCGAAATAAGTTCGCGTCTGCGGAGAATCTGAAAAAATTGGGAGACGAGTTCGAGGAGGACAGCTGGGCGGCCGAGCGCCGAGACCGCGTCCCCAGCGACCTGGACATCCGCGTCAAGAAGTGCTCGGCCAAGAAAAACATTTACTCCAACGAAGACTTCACGGTCAACGAGGGCGGTGACGCTAAATCGTTATTAACCAAAATCTGCAGTTACATTTGCAAAAAGTTTCGAAAATAAAATGCTCGAATATTCAACAAAACATAGTTTATTACGGACTAGAAGTACACGGGCGGCGGGAGGGAGATCACGAGCCGCAGTTCTGCTCGAAGTTGTGCGTGTACCAGCGCACGATGGCGATGTGCTTGCTGAGCTGCAGCGCGAACTCCTTCTTCATGTGCAGGAAGTCTCTGATGACGGGCAGGTCCAGCATGACGAAGGCCTCGCCGTCGATCTCCTCCCGCTTCATGCGCTCGGCGACGGGCTTGCAGTCGTCCGTGCTGCTCAGGTAGGCGTACACGTCGTCCACGCTCCAGTCCAGCGGGTTGCGGGACAGCTTCAGCTCGAGGGCGAGGTCCCGCTCGAAGGGGCGGGGGGCGTCCCGGGCGCCGCGGAGCTTCTTGAGCTCGGGCTCCTCGGCGTCCGACACGTCCGAGATGCGCTTGTCGCGCGACGTGGAGCTGGTCTCCGTGTCGCTGTCCGGGGACGCCCGCTTGCGCGCGGCGCGCACCGGCCGCGGGGAGCACTCGCCGGGCTCCTTCTCGCGCTCCTGCGAGGGCTGCTCCTTGTCTCGCTTCTCGTGCGCGCCCTTCTTCTTCTTCTTCTTGCCGTTGACGCTGCCCTTGGGTCGGCCGCGGCGCTCCGTGCCGTTATCTGCAACGCAAGGGGCGGAATGATTGAGCGGCGGAGGGTTGGGGCGGGTGTGGGTGCTAGTGCTGGACGGCGCTACTGACGGAAGGTGGCCTTGTCGACCTGGTGGCAGGCGTGCGGGCAGGCGGCGCGGGGGCGCGAGTAGTGGTGGGTGCCGAAGAGCGCGGGGCAGGCCTGCAGACGCACGCAGGCGGCGCGGCAGAAGGCGGGCACCTGCGCGCGGCGCGTGGCGATGGGCACGTAGGCGTGGTACGTGCTGCTCTTCAACCTGCGGACACGAGCGCGCTCTCAGACCGTGCCACTGTTGTCTCGACACCGGACCACAACAACATTACCTACACTCGGGCGCAATGAAATCGCACATCTGTACATTTTTTGAAAAATATTATTTACTTCTTTTTATTTAAAAAAATACATATATTTTTTAACATAAGGTTAAAGGATAGTTCAATACCTATTCAATGATACCACATAAGACATGATAAGTTTACCTGCCTGCTGAAACAAAACGACAACAGCAAACTCCAAAAATTGCTCCCTCAACTCACTGCAGTTTGCAAGACCAACTGCAGGTATAAAAAGGCATGTTTTGTGTAAAACGTCATCAGTTGCAAGCCAACGCTTAACCTGATAAGACCTCTAGTGACTCCAATTGCATTTGTCTGAAAAAGATGGATACTACTCCGGAAAAAGCCGCTCAAGTCGTCGCTCTAATTGAAGCGGGCCAGAACCAGAGTGCTGTAGCTCGACAACTGAATATCAGCCGATATTCAGTTCGTCGTGTGTACCAGCGCTATCGGGAGACTGGTGGCTTTGAAAGGCGACGAGGATCTGGTCGAGCAAGAGCTACAACACAGCGCGACAACAGATTTCTTGTAACGACAGCGTTGCGAAATCGTCGTTTGACTGCCGTTGAACTTGCACAGCAGCTTCAACAGGTGCGTGAAGTGGTAGTCAGCAGGTGGACAGTCAGAAGGAGACTTGCCGAAGGTGGTTTGACTGCGCATAGGCCAGCAAATGGCCCTAAATTGACGCCAGCTCACCGCCGGGCTCGTTTTCGATTTGCACAAGAACACGTCAACTGGACAGCCGACCAGTGGAAAGCAGTCCTGTTCTCAGACGAGTCCAGAATGTGTCTTCATGATAATGATGGACGTGGAAGGGTCTACAGAAGGCGCTCAGAGCGATTTTCCCAATGTTGCATCACAGAACGTGTAGCATACGGCGGTGGTTCGTGTATGTTCTGGGGAGGTATCTCACTCGAACGAAAAACAGAGCTTGTCTTCATCGTTGGGGCCAATATTAGGCGACAAACAAGAGGTCTAACATCTCAACGATACATAGAGGAAGTTCTACAAGAACATGTCGTACCATTTGGCCGTTTAATTGGAAGTAACTTCCTTTTTATGCATGACAATGCAAGACCTCATACCGCTGCGATAGTGAGACAATACTTACAAGAAGTAAATGTACCCGTGATGGAGTGGCCAGCTCGGAGCCCGGACCTTAATCCGATTGAACACTTGTGGGACGAATTAAAAAGAAAAATTAGAGGTCGAAATAGTGCTCCAGCTAATCTCCAGGAGCTACAAAATGCGCTCAAAGAGGAATGGGACGCCTTGCCACAAGACTTTATCAGAAACTTGATAGAGTCGATGGGGAATCGGTGTGAAGCTGTAATTCGGGCAAGAGGGGGCAATACTTGTTACTAATAAATGATTTTTCAGTATTTTTGTGTTTTTTTTTATTAATCCCCAAATTTTAAATGGTTTAGTTGAGTAATCATTTTGTAATAAAGATTAAATTGTTGTTGTATTTTATTTTCCTCAAGAAAGTAACCTTATCTCCACTTATATGGTATCATTGAATAGGTATTGAACTAACCTTTAACCCTATGTTAAAAAATATGTGTATTTTTTTAAATTAAAAGAAGTAAATAATATTTTTCAAAAAATGTACAGATGTGCGATTTCATTGCACCCGAGTGTATATCATGTTGCCCATTTATCTACTTTCTTTTTAATATACAGTTCTTTGATCTGATCTAATTCTGTGAACCAATTCTGGATCACTTCTAAGAACTATAGCGTACCGAGCCGCTAGTGGCGAATTCGGCAATAGGCCCTAATAGCTTCGAGCAAGTTATGATATGATATGGACTAAGTCGCATTATTATTGTAAGTTATGGGATGGTCGTCCCTCCCGGCAACTCCTCAGCAGCAACCACACAACACTAATTTGCATAATGAGATACAGAGGGAACAATCAAAATGGTTGATGCTGTAAAGCCTTTTGGCCAGAAACTAAGAAAATTTGATTTTTTTTTTATTAAAATAGGCCTTCACAGACGCTTTTAAAGCAATAATGTTAATACTAATTTGTAATCCACATTTACCACTGAATGAAACAACAAAGAACTGAGATTTAGATTAACATACCTACTCCAATCGGCACTTTTCCATGGCTTTATTAGAATATTCTATTTCCATCCAAAGATCACTCAATCACCGGGAGAAATAATTCATACTTGTGCAATTTATTGTAGTATTTAAACTTTTTTAGTGTGAGTCCGATATTATGGCTTGCACTCGACTATGCCATGTTCGCGTAAATAAAACAACATTGGTACAACCTGACATTGCCTATGTCCAAAAGCAAAAGTTACCACCTATGACTAGTAGGACGGTAAGCTTGTGTGCCTTCAGTACCAGCCACACTTGCATGTTGAGGGATCATTACAAGAACATTAAATGTACACGTGGACAGAGACAAGTTAATTTGAATAATGTTCGTACTTAGCTCTGAGCATCTCCAGTCGCATGCCTTCCTCGGGGGGACCCTCGGTCTCCCAGTCCTTCAGGAGCTTGGCAGGCTTGTACGACGCAGAGATGATCTTGTTGAGGACTTCCTTCAGCACCAAGGTCAGCGGCCCCGGACCCACGTGCTTGGGCAACTGCGACAATTTGTTCCTGCTGATAGAGGGGCCGGCGTAGCATTTGTAGTTAAAGTATATTCTGTCGCACCACTCTTCGGAATTCTTGATGTCGTCTTTGTTCAGTTTGACCTCCTCGACGGGTTGTTGCTTGGCGGCGCTGACGTCGGGGATGTGCAGCGCGTAGTTGTTGGCGTCGCACCAGCCGGCCGGCAGCAGCAGGTCGCTGCGCTGCGCGAACCAGTACTTCTCGCCCAGCGGCAGCAGCTCCACGCACACCATGTGCTCCGCGACGCAGTCCACGCGGGCCACGTGGATCTCCTCGTGGTTCTGTGGGTTCACCGCTTCCAGCTTCATGTTCACTTCGATTCCCTTCAGAGGCTGTTTGGTTCCGAAGCAGTAGTCGGGGGCCGGCACGGATGACGTGGCGGANGGTTAGCGAAACGAAACTAGCTATCGAATGTCAATAGCGGCTTTTGAAACGCGCTATTTCAGTAGCGAGCAATAGCGGGTTTTGTTTAGCAGTAAACTAATGTGCACACGAATGAGCTAGCGTCGCGATTAATATTTCAGTAATTACGACTTTATTTGTAATTTATCTTTAAGGATAATCTATATTAAACAACTATACATTTTATATTTTTAACTATTCAATTTGGCTATTAAACTTAAAACTTAGCGTCGCTTCTCTAATACATTTTGTCGCTAAACACGCGACTCGTGAATAACTGGTTCAAGGCCACAAAATTCGACATCAACTTACATTCATAATTTAATTATTTCAATCTTATTTTAAGAGATATAAGGGCTAAAGTCAAAGGTCAAATGCATCTCAGTAGTGTACGTGAAAGAGACAAAATGATGATTGTCTATTTCGATCGAAACGATGTTTGCGCTGCGTGTCGCGATAGCTGCCCACCGAGCGGTACGAAGTTAAACGAATATTGCCGAACGTTGTGTGATTTGTTTTCGTGATCGGTGACGTGATTGAGTAGTAGATGTTAGCACCATAGATTATACACTTAATATATTAGAGATAGATGCGCAACTCTCATTTTTATTTTTGCTTTAGTTAAAGCCCGGTCCAGCAGGCGTCGCTACGGTCGATTATTAGTCTCCCTACCCCCCACCAGGTGGCTTTTTTAGTAATTTTAATATTTTTAATAACTCTCTTTATGAAAAAATCTTATCGTTTAGAATCGCTGANCTTTGTTCAGTTTGACCTCCTCGACGGGTTGTTGCTTGGCGGCGCTGACGTCGGGGATGTGCAGCGCGTAGTTGTTGGCGTCGCACCAGCCGGCCGGCAGCAGCAGGTCGCTGCGCTGCGCGAACCAGTACTTCTCGCCCAGCGGCAGCAGCTCCACGCACACCATGTGCTCCGCGACGCAGTCCACGCGGGCCACGTGGATCTCCTCGTGGTTCTGTGGGTTCACCGCTTCCAGCTTCATGTTCACTTCGATTCCCTTCAGAGGCTGTTTGGTTCCGAAGCAGTAGTCGGGGGCCGGCACGGATGACGTGGCGGACAGGTACTCGTCCCAGTCGAAGGGCCCCTCCTTCCACGCCTTGGGGCTCTTGAAGGCGAGGCCGTGTCTTTGAGCCCAGCCTATCGGGTAGATGTAGGGGTGCATGGAGTCGCACAGCCAGGCGGCGTTGGCGTCCTCGTAGTCGTCGGCGTGGTCGTCCAGAGCGACGAGGAAATGGAAGTTGTTGAACACCTTGGAGACGGTGGCCGGTCGCACCGTCCTCATGTCCTGAGGGCACAGGGCCTCTAACTTCATACCTGTTACGAAGTTATGCGCCTCCAAGCTCTGATTTGGCTGAAAATTAAAACATAGTCCAAACATATTATTATTATCACCTTTGACAGTCACATTAGGGCTCGCGGCCTGCCTGCTTAGATTTATTGATTCCGCAAACTCATTAGAGTTTCGTGTGACCATAGCTTTGCGGAATGCTCTTACAAGTAATATTACTGTAGTGATTCTATGATTTACGAACTTCGTCACATCCCATGGTAGTGGATCATCCTTTCGTTAGTTTTGCGTAGAGTCCTTACCACGAAGAGATCAGGCGGCGTGGGTTCCTTGATGGCCTCCTCGGCGCTCTGTCGGAGCTGGGCGCTCAGTTTGTTCTTGCACGAAAACTTGTTCACTTTCCCGGGGTATTTGAACTGCCACGGTGAGCCCTACAATTAGTTTTAACTGTTACTATTTCTCCCAATTGAACTAGTGGATTTCTTAAAATACCTTCTTAGATCCTTGATGTAATTACTTGGATTCGCCAACAGAATTAGTGAACTTAGGTTGACTACGAACAAAACAAAGTTAGACTCGGGCACCTCCCCCCTCCTAATAATAAATAAGGCTTTTATTCTATAATTAATACCTACGCGAAGCAGAAACTTTGTACCTAGCCCATTTTACGAAAATTGTGTGGACGCAGGAGTATGAAATGTTCCACACTTATAGAGAATATTGAGGAGTGCATGGAATGCTAATATTTATGCATAAAAATACAGTACATCATTAAAAATACCATTACACACACTACCATGTATTTGACATACACACACGCATTTATACTCTTTTGTTTATTGTTAAAATCTGTGGTCTTATTGAGAATAGATTAATATTGTTTGTCTATGTCTATAGTGTAGCCTTGATGAATTCTGTGATTATAGAAGTATAGTCCTTGACAATAGAATCATATTAATGCTCAAACTTATAATTTAAATTAATTATGATCGACTACGACCACTGGGCGACCACTACTTTTATTTTATTTTATTTGGAAGACAAACAGTGAACTTAAGCTATGTAAAGACTAACCTTCCAACTAAACACCATATATATATATATATTTATTTATTTTTTGTAAATGCGCCACCCACCTTGAGATATATGTTCTAAGGTCTCAGTATAGTTACAACGGCTGCCCCGCCTTTCAAACCGAAACGCATTACTGCTTCATGGCAGAAATAGGCAGAGATTATAGATAGCACAATACCTTATTCGTGACGTAGCCGAAGCTGCTCAGCCGTGGGTTAGAGAAAAATATCCAGAGCTGCTGTAGGTCCTCGTCGCAGCCGTCGTACCGCACCAGCAGCCTGCCCCCGACGTTCTCGCACACCTGAGGAGGACGCGCGTGTTGGTATGGGTGTCCAATGGGTCAGGCTAGCTGACCTTCGATTTTGGTGACCAATTAGCGCCAAGTGAGGGACGGAGACGTTCTGGCTGTTGATATTCCTTTTTTTTTATTGCCCTTGTAGGCAGACCAGCACACGGCCCAGCTGATGGTGAGTGGTTACCGTCGCCCATGGACTTCAGCAATGCCAGGGACAGAGCCAAGCCGCTGCCTACCGCTTAATAGTATCCACAAGCCTTGTTTGAAGAAGGACATGTCATAGCGCTCGGGAATCACCGTGCCTCAACCAAACTCTTGGAGTTTACAAGTTTTGATAGTATTAGTGTTTGCATTTGTAGCTACTCAGTTTAGTAGTGCCTACATGTTTTAATGAAATACAGAAGATAATTGAGTAACCTACTCAGGGATCTGTTTCTTTATGATTTGTTAAAATATTAACCTGAAGAATGACGAGAGCCCGCTTTACCGCCTTTACAAAAATCGCGTAAGTAATCACAAAGAAATGTAAAAACGGTATTATTATTTTCAGCATTCTCTTACAACTAACTTTGTATGATAATTTATTATTTCCCTGAAACTTCATCTAATGGTATCCCTTCTGTTTCCCTCGTGGTATTGTGTCCAACTTTCCTGCTGTGGTATTTTTTTGATCGCAGGAGCTCAACACCAGGTTTGGCGTCACCGGTTTTTGCTCACTTCTTGGGCGAAGATGTTTGAGCTCGTTCATTTATTTTGAGGGATACCCTTCATGATTGAATGTGACGGGGAGCTCCTGGCATTCTGGAGGGCATCTTTATTGACACGCCATCTCCGTATGGACGCCAGCCCTGTGCGTTCACAGTTTGGATCCATGAGCTACGTGCGTGTGGGCCTGGCCGCTGCCCAGTTCAGTACACATGGCGAGTCCCGGCCCTAGTGTACTTTGTAAGAACCTAGCCCCTTGTTATTTGTTCCCCTTAAGAGGAGGAGTACTGAGCCCTCGCCTCATAAGTAGGAACCTCATTACCTATTAGTAGAATGGCAAATAACTTTGCCTGTTAACACGACGTGAACATTGAAAAGTAGGATTGAATCTCGAAATATGGATACTTCGAGATACTTCGGAATAAAGATTACTTGAATATGACGAACAAACTATTCTCCTGCCAACCTTCGAATCATGTTTTACATAAAATATCGTAATATGTTTCGTAGTGAAAAATAAGGTTGGCAACAATCAACATTTTTGTTAGTGTCTGTTAGTGGCACATCTAGTGTTAAACGGTTACCTGAGCCCACAGAAAACGTAAATATACCGCCGCCCACCTTGAAATATAGTTTCTAAGTCTCAGTTATTACAGTACTACGGGTGCCTCGCCCTTCAAACCGATATGTATTACTGCTTCACGGTAGAAAGAGGCAGGGTGGTGGTAGCTACCCTTACGGACTTACGAGACGCCCTAGCACCAGTCAGTAACACCAGGAAGTAAACGTAATACTGAGCCTACGATATGAGCGCGCACATTGTCCCTGTGATGGATATCGGTTTAATTAAGCCCTCTTTGCCACATGACCAAGAAGCTGTGTCCTCTAGGTACAGGTTACGTAAGTGATAGCTTGAATAGCTTTTAACTTACAAAAATATCCGTAACCTAAGTTTAACGGATAAAAGAGTAAAAATAATTGTAGGAATCTCAATAACTTCGGATTGTTTTCAGGCCCGTCGGCCTAATGGAGTTTGAAAAACTAAAAACGGTCACGTGATGTCAGCTGATCGAAATACACACATATACACACATAACCACTCCGCCATCCATTTCGAAAAAGGGGCACGATACGAAAACTTCCTCATCATGACCGCCGGTAAATACATTCCCGATCCTGCGAACCGAATGGTAAATAGTTCTTTTTTTCCTACCTTTTTCTGATAGCCTTGAGAGGCTATATCAGTTTCTCCTTGACGTGTAGGTGAGCTCACGGGGCTCAAGCCAGGAGTGTTGCTAACACTGGCCCTAGCAAGAGCAGTGCTTCGCAGAATCTACCACCGGATCGGAAACGCGACCCATTGAGAAGAACCGGCGAGAAACTCAGTGGGCTGTGTCGATGGGTTAATTCACTCGTCGAAGTACGGTGACCAGAACTGGTAAACAGTCGACATCGCCCAAAACACGTCATTTCGGATCCTCCCGATCTACTATCGGTGCTTTTAGGTACCTGTCATCGTTCTTGAATCTTGTCGAACCCGTCGCTTGCGACGAAGGGCTCGCTGAGTAAATTAACCCACAGACACAGCCCACTGAGTTTCTCGCCGGATCTTCTCAGTGGGTCGCGTTTCCGATTCGGAGGTAGATTCTGCGAAGCACTGCTCTTGCTAAGGTTAGTCTTAGCAGATGTCGTCAGATTTGAGCCTCGTGAGCTCACCTAGTAATTCGGTGAATCTAGTATAACCCCTCGAGGTTACTAGAATAATAGGTTGGAAAAAAAACCCCGCCAGCGCCGGCACGTCAGTTTCTTTTGTTTTTGCTATAAAGGTAAAATTTAGTGGCATTCGCCGTAATAATATTGAAATTTTTGAGTTTAGATTATTAGCTTCGATTTGAATTTTTAAGTTTTAGGCCCTTACGCGCACCACGTAATGTAGTTGATTTTTTTGTCGTAATTATTGTTTGAAATTAGTTAAATGAATGAATCTGTTATTGTCTATCTCGTTCTGACGCGTAGACTGCACGGCATAGCGGAATTTTTGTTATATAAATTCAGGGCTGTCACCGAACAGTTAAAACAAATAATAAATTAGTTTTTGTATGAAACTACTAATTACGTTTAAGATTTTTTTTAACCTTTTTAACTTGATCTACATTTTTGATACTATAGCTTCGACATTTCGACTTGATATACCCATTGTGAGACACCCTGTATAAATACCTGGTTTCGTTAGCACAAGGAATCGAATTTTGGGGCTGGACATCCATGGGTAATTTGTCCACGATTATTTATATGTTTACGAGGGAGGATTAATATCATGAAATAATAAGTCATTGAAACTTTATCAATTTGCATAATCACCAGCTCTAGGGCGTTACATGACCCTGCATGAGTAGGTTACAGTATCACTCTGCTTATTTCAGCTGCGAAGCAGATACGCATTCCACTTGAAGAGTTAGGCAGCTCTTATAAAATAAAATTAAGACTGACCTCATATCCCGTGGCAGATTTATTTTGTGATGTCTATAATTTGTGTATTCGTAATTAATTAACACCAGGTTGGTTGAAAGTGTGTTCAACCACCCATGTAATAAAAATAAAGCAATTAATACTTACAGTGGCTATCCAATATCTGTATGGATCGATGAGATTCTGCACTTCAACCTTCATGCCAACTTTGATCCTGTCTATTGGAGATAGTCCTTTATTATTTAAAGCCTCTATGGAAACAGACTGGCCATCCATCAGAGCATTTTTCATTATATCAATAATCTTATCTCCATATTTCTCATTTATTGCATCAGGGGGCTCAATCAATTCATCATATTTACCACACCATCCTAAAGGATGAACTTTTGTATTGGATATATCACACCAGAAATCACTCTCTGCTCCAATGAACTTGATCCTAAGGACATGACCACATACCATCGTGATCTCTGCTATCCAGTATACATCTGGATTGTTCCTGTGACAGACCTCAAGAAGCATGTTCTGTTTGATTCCATTATAGAGGCTGGTTTCCACCTAAAAACCCATTGTAGTTTTATTTGTAAATCTCATTTACTTTTTCCTACATAACATAAAAAATATAACAGAAACAATCAATAAGGCTGGTAATTATTAATATTATACATATATATTAAATAATATGTAATTAATAATTTTATTGACAAACCTATTTCCAACTTTATCATCAGAAACTATTCCCATGATTTTTCTCAGGCAAAATAGTCAAATATTAAATCTGATTGCAAGCCTGTATATGAATGTGGTATAATTAGTATTTCTAGGATCTCTAAAAGCACTCTGCTTGAAACAAACAGTACAAGACATTGAGAAATAAAGTACTTTAAAGATCTTAAGGTTCCTTATATTGAGACTTGTTGTAATGTACTAGAGCATGCCAACCCTTCAATGAAAGTAAACCCTCAAGGGTTCACAATGTGTGTAGTCTATAGTTAATGGTGGTATTCTACTATGATATATTTGGTATTATAAGTTAAAAGTTTGATTTTTATCATAGAACTTTATTCTTTCATCTTAGAAGTAATTCAATATTTCCTAGCGATATTATATTTTAATTTATATTATATTTTTATCTTCAATTATATTATTAAGTATTGGTTTTATTTCCTACTACTTCTGGTTTAGTTTACTGTTTTTCAATAGATCATATTATTTTTTAAATCAAATTAGTCTATTTATAAAGAGATAAATAATAATAAAAATTACAAATCCAAACAATGGGCAAAATTAAAGAATTTAAGGAGAAATAAAAAAATTCAAGAGTTTCCTATTATTAAAAATAATGGTTTTATTGCAACTGGCAGAAACAAATATAATTGACATTGAATTGGATATTAAGATGAAACACGCATTTGATATGTTATAATTAAAGTATGCAAGTTATATAAACATAAAACAAGTAATTAAAACAGTTACACTAACTTTTCATATTTATACGTTATGTAGTTAAAATGAAGAATTATATCGAAATAAATAAGCTATGTAAATTCAACATATTAGATCTTCCTTAGAAACACAATGAATGGTGTTTAAAAATAGACTATGTATTTTTTTGTTCATGCGTGGTATTTTATGAAAATTCGTATCATATCTACTGATTAATTAATTTCATAATTTTCAAATAACTATTTCACTATTACATCTTTCAACATAACATAGTATCGGTAAAGCCCATAAAATATTTATGAATATTATTTAATTTTTAAGATCATCGAAAATAGTTCGCAAGTCGCAACTTACATGAGAAAATAATTCTTCTGGCACTGCAACAGATTTGCTTGTCTCCAAATAATTGTTCCAATCGAATTCAGCCATAATTAAAACACTTTAAAACCAAAACCCAATTACATTGTAATTAAAATTAATTGAAATATGTTCAATAAAAGTAGTCTAATCGGTAAACAGCCGAACTTGCACGAATAATTTTCTTTGAATCGTACATTTCGTTCCCTCTTATTTCTATCTCAGCTTATAAAAGTGATCGATGACTGTTTGTCTCTGTCTTGCAATTTAAAAAAACAAACCGTAAAGGTGCGATTGCACTAAAGTAAGAAACCTATAGGTCTATGTGCGATTGACACCCGATTATTAGTGTCATTCTGTTGCTAAATTCTTAAATAATTCACTTAATGCCTCATTATCTAGAACTTGTTCCGATAGTCACGGCAAGTGTGGTGGGTTCGTTGATCAGTGTTCTGACGAATTTATATAGCTATAGCGGCTTTATTGTCGATAAACTAACGACTAACAATCTCATGTTTCCACGCGAATATGCACCCAAATATTTAGTTATTTAGATGAATGCAAGACCTGTATAAATATTTTGGCTTATCCTTGAACTACCATTTAATGTTCACACGCAAATGGAAGTGCATTATTAGTAAGTAATATGGGCACTTCGCAAGTAGTTCTCTGGAACATTAATGTAAATTGAATTTTTACTCTTCGCAAGCTTGTGCCCTGATTTCCTTTTTTAATTCACTACTTTTAAATCTGTGGGTTCGTTATATTCGGTCATGAACAAGGAAATGATTAGAGGACTACAACCTTACATGCATAATGAAGTGGAATGTAAAAATGCGGAGGTAGAATTAGTTGCAGTCAAATCGACTAAAATACCTTGTCGTAAAACAAAAGTATGTCTGGGGATTAAAAATACTGAAAATAAAATTATTTTAAATTGGCTCAATTCAAAGAGCTTAAATTTTCCATCTTTAATCATTTTCGATCTATTTAGCTTTACTAAAACTATAAAACTGCTTAGACTGATGAACGATCTCACGGCTTATGAGATGATGAAGTGGCTGCTGTAGCTCACAGATATTACAACGTGAATTCGGCCTCCTACCGAGTCAAACGAAATGAATAAATTAAAAATGGACGTTTCGAATTCTCATTTGAATGAGAAGAGAAACAAACTGAAACGCTTAGGAGTCGAAATTGGTAATAGAGGGGTACCTACCCGTGTAGGCTTACAATACGTTTTAAACAAATACAAACTTGTTGGCGTTCCCAGTACGCTAGGATAAAAGTTAGGGAGTCGCCTTTTACAACACCTAAGGAAAGACATGGGCGGTGCTATCCTTGGCCAGTGTGCGTTTTGAAGTGATAAATTCTTATAAATCGATGAAAGCACGTACGAAAAACTGTCACATTCCGCTTGAGCCTGAACATGCTAGCGAGAGTGCGGAACAAGCGATAGAGAGGTACGATCGGTCCAAGCGTTAATATATCGAATAAATTGTAATTTTCAATTAATTCCATCTTTGTATTATACAAAATAATTATAATTTACTGATAATAATTCAATTCAATTCATAAAAGTATGCAATTTTTCGTCAATATATCTTCTTGAGACGTTATAATGCAAAACTAATCGTCCGTAAACCGACTTTACACACACCCAATTATTTTATTCAAATTATTTATAGTGTCAATTTTTCTCCGAGATAGAAAAAAATAAAAATGCATCGTTTTCTACTGTTTAGGATCGACTCACTAGTTATTATCAATTTACAAAATCAATCGTCATTTTACTCAAAATCGATTTTTTTCATGAGTTGTTCTCAAATCTATCTCATTGCCTGCATTCTTAAATAAGGAAAATACAGGACCTATTAAAGTGAGTGAATATTGTATCATTCATAGATGTTAAATCGTTCCATTTGCTGCTAGGTACTTAAGTAGGTACTATAGGCCTATAGGTTTTGACGTTTTCGTGCTAATTAACGAATTAAAAAAACCTATAAAACGTCATCGGTGGTTGCTTTGTGTCAGTGCCTTGTCTTATCTTCACGAACAATTTATCTAAACAATAGAATTTCCAGATGGTACCGTTTTGTATGTGTACAAAAATACAAAAATAAGTGTCAGTAAACGTTTTTGAAGTGTTGTCCGTGATCATTATGTGATTACTTTCTCTTTTATCGCTTCAGTGACTGTGAATTGCGACATACAGAATGAGTCGTTCTACAAACGAAATGTTATTCAGCCTATCGGACACCCCGAATGGGACGATCGATGATAGCTGCATGCTAGTGAACACATCGCAGAGTATTATCATCACGGGTGCCTACAATGGAATCCCTCAGACTTTGATCCTAAATTTGATAGCATGGTCGTTCCTTATTTTATTGTTTACTGTGCTTCGAAGGACGGCATGGAACTACGGGAGAATGGCACTCGTCCAGCGCACCAGGGGTCGCTGGACAAACTTATTCTATCGCGCTCGAGATGGTGATGCATTGGTCGAGCGCCGCCGCAGTGCAGACGAGTCTTCAAACATTGACGAAGGGCTCTTTACGTGGGTTCCGGCCGTGTTTCGCATCACTCGTGAACAGGTTCTCATAAAGTGTGGTCCTGATGCTGTGCACTATCTTTCCTTCCAGAGACATGCTATTACACTAATGTTCATCATAACCTTAGCATCTATTGGCATTATCTTGCCCATAAATTTCCAAGGGACCAATTTAAATGTGGACACTGGAACATTTAGTCGAACAACACTTTCCAACTTAAATGGAAGATCTTACTGGCTTTGGGTACATACTTTACTGTGCATCTCTTTCTTACCTATATCAGTGCTTATCATGAGAAGATGCACTGGGCGCAAACCCGTACCTACATCTATGACTGGGACCATCATGATAACGAACATAGCCAAGGCTGACAGAAATGAGTCAACCATTCGAGCCTATTTTGCTCACAACTTTCCTCATATACAAATTGTAGACCTTCGCTTAGCTTATAACATCAACAAGCTCAATGAAGTTTTAGAACAAAAAGAAATGGTAACTGAAGCTTTAATCTACACTGATACATATTTCAAGAAGACTGGGAAACGTATTGCTGTTAAACCAACTTTGTGTGGACCTGAAATTGATGCTTTGGAATTTTACACAAATGAAGAAAAGAGGTTAAAAGATGAAGCTAAGAGAAGTCGTGCCATGGTCCTCAATGATCCTTTGGGAGTTGCCTTCTTAACTTTACCCTCATATCAGCTAGCTGAACATGTGATGAACCACTTCAGTCTCCATCGTGGCTGGGTGCTGTCACATGCTACTAACCCTGCAGATATTATTTGGGAGAATCTAAGTGTGAAGCCTGGAATCTGGTATGTTAAGGCCATCATAGTCAACTTTTTCCTCTTTGTTGTTTTGTTTTTCTTGACTACTCCTGCATTTGTTGTTAGTTTGTTCAACAGGACCGTGGTCAAACCAGATTCTCCTAACAAAATTACTTCTATCATCTATGATTTCTTGCCCACATTATTATTATGGACCATGGCTGCAGTGATGCCAGCCATTGTAGCATTCTCTGATAAATTCTTGTCACACTGGACCAAGTCACAGCAAAATTATTCAATTATGACAAAAACTGTGTCATATCTCCTACTGATGACCTTGATCTTGCCATCATTAGGTCTCGCCAGTGCCGAGGCCTTCCTTATGTGGACATTACAACACCAGAATAACACAATGCGTTGGGACTGCGTGTTTCTCCCTGACAAGGGTGCTTTCTTTGTGAATTATGTTATCACCTCAGGCTTTATTGGTACGTCATTAGAGTTGATTCGTTTTCCGGAATTGTTCTTATATGTGTGGTATCTATTGCAATCAAAATCGAGAGCGGAAAAAAGTTACGTGAAAAAGGCTATATTGTACGAATTCCCATTCGGCGTGCACTACGCTTGGAGCATTGCGATATTTTCCATCACCACGGTGTACAGTCTGGCGTGCCCGCTGATCGCGCCGTTCGGGCTCATCTATCTAATGCTGAAGCACGTGGGGGACAAGCACAACTTGTACTTCGCGTACGGGCCAAGCGACATGAGCGGCATGGGCGGTGGTCGGATCCACGCCACCGCTGTCAGACTCATACGAGTCTCCGTTCTCCTCTTACTGATCAGCATGGCCGCCTGGGCTGGTCTCCGGGCCGGCTTCGAAGCTAGAACTATAATATTGATAATGGCCTCGATTGTGGCTTTCGGGACGTTTTTGCTGTTGAGTCCGTTTCCGAGTTGCACCCCACCCGCGCCCCTGCAGGCCGAGTCCAGTGTGAGGTTCCAAGAGTACATCGCCCCCGTGCTACTAAAGCCGGTGGATACGCCCCCGACAACGACGCCGACGACCCCGGATTACGGGGCATCATCGCCTGTTAACAACAATTCATACAATTCGGGCCCCATCAACATTTAAAATATAAATCGTTACTTGCAATCTTATTTTATCACGTGATAATTATTACATTTTCGTTAAAAGATGGATGCTATCTCGCGATAATAATGAAGAAAATGATAGCTATCGATTTTTTGACGATGTCGATTTGATAAAAAGTATTAATGTGTGATTAAAAATATATATCATTGTAAATAAATGTGCAATATTTTTGTATTTAATTTAAAAACAGGACTTGTATCCAAGATATTTTAGACAAAAATACACATCTACAAAAAAAAAAAAAAAAATTAAATAAATGGAACGAAATTTTTGACTGTTTACGTTTCATACATGCTTTTTTTGCGTGAACATTCGACTAATTTAACATTTCAAAATAGTATGAAAACATCAGATTTTGTTTTATATAATAGTAATGCACTTCTTATTCGAACTAATTACATTTATAAAAATGCAAAATTTTAGATTTTAGAGTCAGTGTGTTAATCAATTGGAATTACTCAGTATCGTCACGCCGCACACGCGCGAGTTTCAAAGGTCGTTCATTAAAAACGAACTTCCGAACGGAAAATTAAAGAAAATTCCACTCTACTAGAGAGATTGATCTAACTAGTTTGTTATTGTATACGCTCTCAATATTATTGTTTATCGCATGTTAGTTTAACCTGTGACTGGCTGTGATCATGAACACAAAACAGAATTTGAAAGTACATAAAAATGTTCTTTTTATGTTCTTTCATCCTTTTTTTTTTATTGCTTAAATGGGTGGACGAGCTCACAGCCCACCTGGTGTTAAGTGGTTACTGGAGCCCATGGACATCTACAACGAAAATGCGCCGCCCACCTTGAGATATAAGTTTTAAGATCTCAGTATAGTTACAACGGTTGCCCCACCCTTCAAACCGAAACGCATTACTGCTTCACGGCAGAAATAGGCTAGGCGGTGGTACCTACCCGCGCGGACTCACAAGAGCTCCTACCACCAGTAAAATTACTTACTTGCATAATATAAATATTACTAATATAAATTTGCATAATAATAATTAAAAAAAACCGCAGTTATTAATACATAATGATCCTCATTAACACGGAACACAGATTTATATACCGACGACGGCCGGTATCCAACCAGGTCCGGTCTTTGTCAAAGCACTCATCCATCTTGGTTATCAACCCAAGCTTCCCGTGTGGCCTCTGTTACCGATCCAATCATTTGTTATTCGCTCACTAAACACCGAGATCTATTTAGCTCGTATGACGCATTATTAGCCCCATTAAAAAGTCCAGGTATCACACTTAAACAACTAATCGAGTCTTTATAAAGGCGCTTATATTATTTAGGTACGTTTTAATTTTGTGATATTTCTTTCACTACCGAACTATTTAATCTATTTCTGTACCTAGATTTTGTTTTGGCCAAAAGTAATACTAATCTGAAATGTACATACCATGTACTCAGTACGTTTTTTTTGTACCTTTTATTTATAAAAGATCTAATATGTATTATGTAGTTACATTGTGTAGGGAGAATTGTGGTAGTTCTATGAAAAAGTTTTAATTTTTGTTATTTTTTATTGATGAGATTTTATTTGTTGATTTATACTGTTATATACAATACCACTATTCAGTTATGTACTAGCCAGATGTTTTGTATTGTTACCTTAAAGTTTTTAATAACTAATAGAAAAATCAATACTTAATAAAATAAATCAATGTTTTACGATATCACGTACCATTAACGAAAAATAAATGTTTTTCAACTATATCAAGGTTTTTCATTACTAATATCAAACGGTTTGGTTTTAGTATATATTTTAAACCGAATAAATTACTATACTTCTGCAAATTTTTAGTGCATATACCTATAATACTATAAAAACTAATAAGATGTTAGAAATATTTGAAGGTAAATAAGATAATTTCAACAGACTTCAAAAAAGGATGTTGTAAATTCTTTCCTAGTGAACCGATTATGATGATTGTGATTTTTTATTTGAAAGCTGGTGCTTATTGTGTGGCCTTATTATTAATCTTGCAAGATCTGACCAGTAGTTTTTATGCGATATCGACTACTTTAATGATATTTTCATTTTATTTTAAAGTTGGTATAATTTTATTGTTTTTTTTAGTACTTTTTAAATACACCGTACTAAATCACACTAATTATCGAATTTATAATGCCACCCTGCAAACACGAACTCAGCTCTTCTGATAGAGTGGGTGTTTACCGTGGCTCATGGAAGTCGGCTACGACAGGGGCGCACCCAGGCCGCTGAGCAACGATATACGGCCCACCTGATGGTGAGTGGCTACCGCCGCCCGAGGACTCCAGCAATGCCAGGGGCAGAGCCAAGCTGCTGCCTATCGTTAATTACTCTTCTCAAGCCTCGTGAAGGACATGTCATAGCGCTCGGAAAACACCATGGAGAGTTCATTCCAAAGCCGGATGGTACGTGGCAAAAAAGATATCTGGAAACGCACTGTGGATAACCGCAGTGGCTCCAGGTAGTACGGATGAACTCTACTCCGGTGGCGGGCGGTGCGGTGGTAATTCGAGCTACAGAATATTTACCTAGTATTCTAATGAAAACGGTGAACGTGCTATACCTATAGCTTTGCAAGAGCGTTGAAACAATTCAAATGTGACATAATACATGACGCTACGGTTAGCGTGGCTAGTAATGATTAAACTAAACGTAACTTATACCTATATTGTAATTAACTGAATGCGAACGATCCTCTTACGAACAGGTTTAACTTGAATGAATTAGAACGACTGACCGCTTTTATAACGAAACTGAATAGGTAAATGGTAATAGGAATGGCAAATAAAAATATAATAGGTAATAGGAACGGCAAATAAGTGTGCTCGGTGCAATATGACGACGTCTCAACAAAACTATTTCTACGCGAGTTTTTCTAACATCTCTCTTAATTATATTTTTTCCCAAACTAACTTGTATTACGTAAGAAAACATATCAAAGACGATTAAATTTTAACAGCTTCAAACATCAAACATCCTAATAATAGACGTTACAGTTTCGCTTCGACTTCCTACTAAATATCGCATAACATCAATAATCGCATCGTGAATATTACAATATTACACACATCGAAATTCGTAATAAATATTTGTGATTAATTACCGACATATTGATTACTAACAATGTGATTGATATTCAATATCATCGGGGCCTAAAGGATAAGAGGGCGTGTGACTCGTATCAAGCGATGCGACGCGGCGACGATGCCGCGATGCCTTTGTTCAAAGCCCGCAGGCTGGTAACAATTTTTGTAATCAAATACACCTCTGGGCTCCAGCGACCACTTGACAACGGATGGGCCAACCATCTTAGCAATAAACAAAATAAATTAAAAATATTTCGTAACATTTCATAATAACCAAATTACAATAATTATCTAAAACCGGAACTTTGACGGCACATTCTTTAATTATTCTAAGCATAATGTAACATCTAGATTTTCTATATGCTATTTATTCTATGTATATCCTTCAAATGGGAATTAAAAAAGAAAAATAGTAATACAAAAAAATCAATGTGCAGTTCACATTTGGCAGAAGTGGAACTTTCACAAATATTCTAATCCTCGCGCAGGCTAAATTATATAAATACATGGATATGCTTGTATCGTTTTAACACAATTTTATTAGCTTGAAATGTATGTTTGTTCGTCTGTATCGGAATATTTGAACGTCATTTACACCGACTACGCGACTTCAAGACGTCTGATTAACTTGAAAATTTACACAGGCATCAATGACCGTGACAATACAATCATTTTATGACTTCGCTCTAATATCATGACCAGTGTCAGGATTAAAAAAGATGAAATGAATTGTTCGTTTGGTTTGCTATGTAGGTATTTGAGCAAAATAATTCAACAGTGTCTTATATATACTGGTATGTATCCACTAGATAACTATCGCATCGTGAACACCCACTTTGACAGCGGTTTAGCTGGGCCCTGGCTTTGCTGATGCCCATGAGTGACTATGACCACTCATTGCCAGGTGAACCTTACGGTCGTCGGCCTTTAGAGATAAAAACAACATGTATTAGATATCTGCTGTATGATTTGAATCCCTGTATAGTAACGTCACTCAACACTTGTACATATTATTATGTCTACTTGTTAGGTCGACCACGGAGCTCATTCGAACTCATTACCTTTGGCAAGACCTTTTATCGGAGTCAGTTTTATATCGGTTTAATCACTATGTTCAGAAATTCTGAATACATAAAACACAACGTGTGTCTATATTTGGAAAGCTCGGTGTTTAACATTGCCTTACGTCACGTGACCTTGCTTCGTAAACTACTCGGTTCCGAATATTTTAAGAGTTAGTACAGAATTTGTAAAACGCGATCTCAATCCTGTTTTAATTTTATGTTATCACTTTGAAATTCGTAAGCCGAGTATTTTCGCTAGTCGTGTGTATGAAGTATTCCTATTGATATCTACATTAAAGTACTTATTCAAAACACTGGAAGGAAAAAATATTACAGATGGAGAAAAAAATCGTGTTAATCAAATCAAGGGCAATCAAACATCATTTCGGCACTAAAGAATTTTTTTAATTTGCGTACACAATAGCAGTCGTTAAAAAATCGGTTATCTGTAAAGTCGGTTTACTGACGATAGTTGAACATAAGAAAATACTGATGGAATGGTTTCAATTTTCAAAAGAAAATTTTAATTTTATTTGTTTGATAGATATTTTGAATGGACAATTGACACCACATTCACTTTTCACTGAACTTCATACTTGACGAAAACGTGTAAATGTATTATTGTATAGCAGCTGTCCACGCGGATGCATCGCTCACTCAAGTAGGAGACAGACAGATGTCGAACGCTGCCGAACGCGGAGGCCGATTGTGCCTCTTTGTCGCTCGTTGCGCTCGCTTGCGCTTCAAGCCTTAAATGGAACGCCTCAGAGCGAGGTAACGCCGCATGATTTATGTTTTTTCGTGCGTGCATCTGGCTCCATCGAATTATAAGACGTTGTCACGTCAAAAATTATATAATGATATTAAGAAAGTTTATTTCAAAATGAAATCTATTCTAGAAACCCTAGAAAAGGAGAACAACTAAAAGGTCGTATTGAAAAAAAAAGTTACGTAAAGTGCTTTAATATGTTTTTCCTTTTCTGTTACACAGCGGTCAGTTCAATCAATCAGTTCAATAGAAGGTAATTCTTACAAGTTGTTATATAAAAGATTAGCTAATGGGATTTTATCGTTATTCGGAGGATTTAGGTCACATCAAGGTGACATATAGGTGAGCGGGGTGAGGCCGTGAATGCAGGATTAAAATATAAATATGATATCTACCTTAGTCACGTTAGTTATATATAAGAAGTAGGAAAATAATAAATATCCTTTAGAGGAATATAAATAGAGTTCCAGTCTCGAGTCGTCTGTAACGATCTATTAGTGAAAGAATGAGTTACCTTTCAGTAATATATTGCTTAGTTGGGTGGACGAGCTCACGGCCCACCTGGTATTAAGTGGTTATCGGAGCCCATAGACATCTAATGTACGTTATTCACCATCGTGGAAGTCAATCGTGAACATTTGTTAAGTACGAATTGCAGTAGAAAAATTGGTACTTGCCAGAGGGATTCGAACACTGTTGAATCGCAAGATACAAATACACTGGACGTTTTATCCTTTAGGCCACGACGACTTCAAATTGTTTTAATATTTGTTTTAAGTCATGCGCGTCCATTAATTATGTTAAAGATAAAACTATAATAGTCAATAGTTGTAGTTTTTATTAGAAGCTCAATGAAGTAGATAATACAACG